CTCCTAATTTATATAAAACAGTCCCGTCCGGCAGCAGCTCGGTTCTGTTGGACCGGGTTTGGTTCGGGTTTTCGCTCGGTGGTCCAGCCTTCAAACCGAAACCAAAACGATGCCCTTCTTCTCTGCCTGGTTTCGCTTTCTAATAAAACAGCCCGTGTCTGCGGTGAAGGGCGCTCTGCGACCAGCACCAAAGGTAGGTCCGTTTATTGAGGATTTCTGTGACCGAACAGAAGCTGCAGCCGGAGGTCCGGTTCGGATCAGCTGAGCAGAATGATGCAGGAGTTACTTCAGACTGAGACCAGGACTCAGACTGAGACCAGGACTCACGAACTGAAGGCTGTTCAGGTCTGCAGGGTTCAGATTAGCGTGACGGGATTTGGGGATTCAAAATGTTCACAGCCACATCAACACCAAAACACTTTATGAAGCATTTTATGAAGCATCAGTTTAGACCAGGGGTCTGCAACATGTGGCTCTGGGGCAAAATGTGGCTCGTTTTTTGGGGCCCTCTGCAGTGGCTCTTTCAAGCTTTGACCAAAAACTAACATAAAACTAAATTTTATTGGTTGTTTATAAAACCAATTAAGAAAAGTATTAGTTTTAGCTGTTTTCATGTCATTTCTTTTTCAAATATTCTAACATTTTGCTTTATTTCTATACTTTAATTATTTTCCCACAATTAAAAGAAGTCACATGTTTGCACAGTTTAGTTTTTTATTTATAAAACAACCACCTCCCCCATTTACAAGAATCTGGTCTTTTCATTTGTCTTTATTAAAATATCAATAAATGTTATAAAAAAATGATTAGATATTTTTAGCTTTATAACGTCACCACTACTACTGGCTTCTCTCCTCCAACATAAAGCGGCCCATGGGCCACCAGTTGATAACCACAGTTGTAGCAGGTTGTTGTGGCGCTGGACACGTTTCATTTAGTGAATGAATGTGTAAAAATGACTCTTTTGATCATAAAAGTTGCAGACCCCTGGCTTAGACTTACGTTGCAAATTATTTTTGTTGTTAATAAGTAAAGAAAATGTCAAAATAAGAGCTCACAGAATGATTTATGGATGAGATCGAGTGAAAATGAGACACGTGCAGGTTTATGTCGGGTTAATGAAGAGGAGCGCGTGCGTGGTTGGACTCCTGGATTGAAGGACGTGAAAGTATTCACCCCTTTAGATTTTGTTGCCAAACAGCAGGAATTTAAATGTTTGGTTATAATTAATGAGCTAAATAATCCAGATTAATCAAGTTAAATGGAAACAAAACACATTTTTAATAATTCTATAAAAAATGTTAAAATAGAAAAGTGCCACAAAATTCACCCCCTTTACTGGATTAATGAAATAAGGTGGAAGAAGGTTCTGTGTTCGGATGAGACCAAACATTCAGGACAGCACTGAGGCCAGTCTAGCACCAGTTGTCATGCTGTCCCTGCAGTGAAGCACGGTGGTGGCAGCATTATGCTGTGGGACTGTGAAACTTGTCAGAGTTGAAGGAAAGATGGAGCAAAATACAGAGACGCTCTTCCAGCAGGACAATGAGTCTGAACACAGCTGAAGAACACTCCTCTGGTTCCAGGAGAACCACGTAAAGGTTCTGGTCTGGACCAGTCGAAGCCCAGACTTCAGCCCACCGGAGAGTCTCTGTGGACAGAAAACTTATTGTCAGGTTTTCTGTTTGTTTTTTCAAAATAAAAGAAATGTTTAATTTCCAAAGGTTTAGTTACTGTACGTGTAAAATTAAAGATAAAGACGCATAATATTCCACTTAAATTTCAGATCGTAAAAACCAGTAGTTCTCCAACTGGGGTACCTGGACCCCCGGGGGTCTGCGAACCGGTGCTTGGGGGTG